CCCCCCCCCTGGCGTTCAAGGGGGGGGGGGGGGGGGTGCAAATTTTAAAATTTTCGAGGACCAAAAAAAAAATTGTGCTTATTAACCCCCCCCCCCCCCCCCCCCCACCCCCCCCCCCCCCCCCCCCCCCCCCCCCCCCCCCCCCCAGAGCGACTTTTCAGCTGGCTTAGTCGTTGTGATTTTTTTGGAACTCCAAAAAAAAAAAAAAAAAAAAAAATGTCCCCCCCCCCCCCCCCCCCCCCCCCCCCCCCCCCCCACTGAGCGACTTTTCGGCCGGCGCGATTTTCAAATTTTCGGGCGCAAAAAAAAAAAAAAAAAAGTTGGGCCCCCTCCCTTAAGAAATCCTGGATCCGCGCCTGTTTGTAACGATGTACATTTGATAATTATTGTATTATGTATTGTTCTTGTATTATGTATATATGTACAAAGACTGTAAACCAGTGACAAAAGAATTTCCCGAAAGGGACAATAAATTTTCAATTCAATTCAATAGATCTATCTTTTCAAAAATTGGGGCAGTTGGGTGGAATTTTGGTTTTTGTTTGTTTTATTTCGATAAAAACACCAGTGACGTGAAAACAGAATTATCAATATATTTACAACATATTGGCCCTATATATATATATATATTTTATATGTATAGCTGTCGTTTGTGTGTGCGTGTGTGTGTGTGTGTGTAGGGGGGGGGGATTCTGATTTGGTTTGGACGGGGGTGTGCGGCTTAAGCGTCTAAACCCATACCCATTTAAGGGTCTTTCGGGAATTTTTTTTACCTGTTATTAGGGGCTTCCATTCAAAACGCAACCAATGTTTAATTTTCGCCGTATTCTACTTAATGATTGATAATCTGAGCGTTTATCGGCGAGCCTCTTTGGATGAAAAAGCGAATTGATTTCAATTCTTTTTGCGGGATTTTGCATCTGGAATTTTCACTTAAGCAAGTAATGGGTAAGATATCAACTTGAAGAAAATATTTACCAATGTGGCAAAGATCTGAAAAGCGGAGCACTGAAGAATTTTGCAGCACAAAATCAGTACCCCATCTTTAGGGATTTTTGCAAATAAGTAACCCATTAATTAGAGCGGTACCCTTATACCGTATTAGGCGAGTACCCCCCCCCCCGGCCATATTAGAGCATAAACATTTTCGTTGCATTAATGATTAAGTAGTAATAATTGTTTTATGCCACTTTACTCAATCGCAATAAATGAAATGTCATGCAACTTCTCAAACACGTTTGCCAATGTAACATCATTCTATGGATATCGCTCCGAAAAAAACCCAGAGGCGGAGAAGCTTCTTTCAAAGTTGGGGGGGGGGCACCCAGTGGCGGATCCAGGGGGGGGGGGGGTCCCGGGGGCCCGGCACCCCCCCCTTGAGAAAAAAAATCATGTAAAATCACGTGATTTTTACCTTTTGGGGGGGGGAAGCAAATGAAAAAATTTCGAGGACCCAAAAAAAAATAGTGCTCACTACCCCCCCCCCCCCCCACTGAGCGACTTTTCGGCCGGCGCGATTTTCAAATTTTCAGGAGCAAAACAAAAGAAGTTGGGCCCCCTTCTCTAAGAAATCCTGGATCCGCGCCTGGGGGCACCAACAAAAAAGGGCACCTACCAAAGGAAACCTCAAAGCAATTTGTTTTCCTTTCTTTTAGAGAGTGATATATACCCTACACACAATGACTACATGCAGCGATGATTTCAATATTTTTTCTCACTCTACATGGTCAAAAATATTACTGAAGCATATAATACTTTGCAGTTAGGTGAGATGGTCTGAAATTCATTTGCGAGCGATTGAGTAAAGTTGTAAGGATATATGAGGTCGCAAAAAAAAAAATGCATCCTATAAAGATGGAAAACACAATTCTGATAGGGTTTTAAGTACATCTCATCATGAAAGAATGGAAAGACCTTTGATAAGAAACAAAATTATACTATATCAACTTTAAATGCGAGCGAGCGTAGCGAACGAGCTTTGGGTGATATTAAAGACAAAGTTGCTCTTGGGCGCTTTAGATTAGGAATACATTTTACGGCAAAAGGAAAAGGGGGCTTTTTATCCAAATGGGAAAAGGACACTTATTAGAATGAAGAAAAGGGGAATCATTTGAGGTAAAAATGGGGCACTTCTCGCAATTGATTAAGGGCGCTCACCAGAAATGAAAAGGGGCACTTATGAGAACAGAAAAGGGGCACTTATTACTGAAAGAAAAAGGGGCAATTATCAGAAGGAAAATGGTACTTATTAAAAATTGAAAGGGAGCATTTGTCAAAATTATAAAAAGGGCACTTATCAGTGATGAAAAGGAGCCCTTATTTCACAAAATAAAGAGGACACCTCTCAAATGTGAATAAGAGCACTCACCGGAGATGAAAACGGGGACAATTATAAGAATGCAAAAAGGGGAATAAAAAGGAAAAGAGGCACTTGTCAAAATATAAGGGTCACTTATCAGATGTGGTAAGAGGAACGTCTTGTACCTGCAAAGGGCGCTCACATGAGATGAATAGCCGGGGCACATTTTACAAAGGAAAATGGGCGCCTGTTAGGGAAAGGGGCACCTTTCAGATTTTAATAGATGCAAGTTATCAGAGATATTTTTTTTTTTATCTTGATAAGTTTTATTGGTCAGAAAGCACAATGATTTACAAAATATGCGTTTCATCGTTTAGCACAAAAATAATGAATAATCATATTGTTTCACACTTACAATTGCCGGTTTCACATATCAGTGTGAAACATTAAAAAAACATAGCATGATACTACCCGGCCGCACAGACGATACGACCACCAGATCCGACACTAAATGGAAAGAGAGAGGCCAAAAAGTAAAGAACATTTATAGCCCCTCTCTCCCCCCCCGGCCCGCCGGTCCGTAGTCGGCCCGGCTGCACCGCCGGGGCATAACGCATGATATAATCTGACCTTTTCTATTACATAAGAGAACATAGTACATCAAATACACTACAACATGAATAAAACAAAAAAAATGTAACAAAAACAAATAAATCTATCCCCTGAAACGTTTTGCACATAATATATAACATTATCATTATGCAACACGGAAATACTTGTTGATGTTTTGCCACTTTGCCATATGCTTCTCAAATTTGTTTTTCTTTTTTGCAATAGCTTCTTCAGCGGATTTATAAGACAAAATATAATTATTGAATTGTTTCAAACTAGGTACACTCTCTTGATATTTACAACGTAGAATGAACTGTTTACCAAGTAAAATAAGAAAATTAAAATCTGAGGTGGCTTGACTTTTTGGTTCGGCAATTCTAAATAAAATGATTTTGCCTGTAAGAAAATAATCGGGATTAAAATCAGTCACTCTTCTGCGTAGCGCATTCCAAAAGGCTGTAATCTTATCAGAGATAATGATAAGGGGCACGTTTAAAAAGTAAAAGGGGGCATTTTCCTATGTAAAAAGGGGCACTTCAGGGGTATTTGAAAAAGTTTGTGGGGGCACTGTGCCTCCTGTCCTCCGGGTCCGTCGCCTCTAGAAGACCCATCGACATTTTTGAGATTTTACAAACAATTAATCAAATGATTCTGATGAATATCTGTTGTCTCTTTGTCATGTTTCTTTGTCTACTCTTTTTTCTTTCTACGTCCTCTTACTTTTACTCTCTCTCTCTCTCTCTCTCTCTCTCTCTCTCTCTCTCTCTCTCTCTCTATCTCTTCCCCCTCTCTCTCTCTTTCTCTTTGGCCGGCGTTTTTGGCACGCCCCCCCCCCCTGGCGACGCGCCTGGTATATAGCAACTGCCGACTCACATTTTCCTATTTCATATTCCCTTTCTCGCCTATAGACAGCTTTTATAATTTTTTCCTTTTTTTCCTTTTTTTCCTCTGAAACCTTCAGAGAGGAAAGAGCAGAGGGACACAATTTCAGTGTAAATATGTCCCCCCCCCCTCTCTCTCTCTCTCTCTCTCTCTCTCTCTTTCTCTCTCTCTCTCTCTCTCTCTCTCTACCTCTTCCTCTTCCTCTTCCTTTTTCACCCCTAGCTCTTTCCATTTCTATATCCTGAATGTTTGATCACTCTCCTTTGTACTAAGTCTCTTCTCCCCACCTTTTTTCATGATTCAGTTAAACCATGTTTATAGTTATTTGTTAAGCACTCAAGCGCTTTTGACGAACATTTCTTATATTATTTTGTTACTTTATTATATAACCAGCTAGGCTGCTTATTATTTTTTTAATGATACTGCTGTAATTGAGGGGCTTGACTTCTACAAGCTAAGCGTTAATCTTCCTCGTCTTTATATTTTACAAAAATGTATTATATGAACTTTACTGTTGCTATTATGTACTCTGTCACAAGTTACATTTTATCGTGTACGTTGGATAAGGCAAATAAAATATATATTTAATAGTAAAAAACGCATGTTTCTTATCCATATTCTTCTTCTTCTTCCTTTCCTTCTCATTCTTCTCTTCTTCTTCTTCTTTTTCTTTCTTCTTCTTCTTCTTCTTCTTCTTCTTCTTCTTCTTCTTCTTCTTCTTCTTCTTCTTCTTCTTCTCCTTCTTCTTCTCCTTCTTCTTCTTCTTCTTCGATCTCTTCTTATTCTTCTTTTTCACGCTTGCTCTTCTTCTTTTTCCGCGTCTTCTCCTTCTTCTTCTCTTTCAAGCTTCTTCTTCTTCTTCTTCTTTTTCTTCTTCTTCTTCTTCTTTTTCTTCTTCTTCTTCTTCTTCTTCTTCTTCTTCTTCTTCTCCTTCTTCTTTTTCTTCTTTTTCTTCTTCTTCTTCTTCTTCTTTCTTCTTCTTCTTCTTAAGTTCTTCTTCTTCTTCTTCTTCTTCTTCTTCTTCTTCTTCCTCTCCCTTTTCTGATCCTCCTTTTCTTTTTCTTCTTGTTCTTGAAATAGAAGAAATTCTGTGGTGAGCACGCATGATACCAAAAATTTCTCTCTTTCGTTCGTTAGCCTCTTAGTAGAGGAGCCGATCGACCCTACCCAAATGGTAACCTACCCAAATAGGAACTAGGTCAGGTGACATGCTAGTCATCACGTGATTTTAATTGTTGACAAAAGAAGTAAATAGGTAGGCCTAGAGCCCTAGATCTACTAAAAGTAAACATCACTGCGAACGTGACAAATTAAAAAGGTAGGTTACTTCTGAGGATATATATAACTAATAACAGGTACCATTTAAATGGAAAATTGTACAAAAATGTAGTTAAATAATATACATTTTGCAGTCAATGCTAAATGCGTATTGAGTCTGGCCTGCATTGGCGGCGAACGCGAGGGCATCATGTGGCATGACTGTAGTGCACATGCATGCACAGTGCAGTGCTGACAAGTTTAGTTTAGCCAAGGAGTTACTACACTAGGAGTGAACACTCTGCCCTTAGGGCTTTTCTTATCACTCAGAGCGGGATTATGAGGGATTAGGGGTCCAACGAAAAACAAAACGACCTCTTACGCAACGAGGTCACCCTGGTCTCGATCTCCGGACTTTTATGTCCCATGGCCATGCGCGATGCCGTGCTAAACTGGCCCTCTCTAGGAGGAAACATCGACAGTCCAGTCATAATATATAGGTGGTTTATCTAGACTAGCTCTATACACATGTCGATAGCTTCATCATATGCGACACACACTCTGATGTCGTGGTAGTCTAAGAATTCAGCTCTCGATTGGTACAAAGATCTCGAAAATCGGCAAACGACAAGCTGAGTTTTGACCTGATTGTTGTTGAAAAATGTCCTTATTTTGTTCCATTTATATTCATATTTCAATGTAATATTAGTGGTAGACCCAGACTACCCCAGATGAAAATCATTTTTTTGGCAGACAAATGAGATTTTCTTCTTTATTTTGATGTATGACTCCACCGATCTTGGCCGTTCTTGTTATTGTGATGACCTATTGGAAACCTGTTAACATCTGCTGTGTCACTATTTTTCTATTGTCCCACTAATATATATTGGTGTGTGGTTTCAGTCAAGGAGTTACTTGTTTCAGTTCACCTGGCGGTATTATTGTGCGTGTTGGACGAGTTGAGGAACTATAGCTGCTAGCTGGGCCGGGAGGGCATGAATGAGATGACATGCATATAATTATAAGCGCTAAGCTTGGCGGATAGTTAGGATTATATTTAATGATTATTAAACAACTGTTCTAATACAATTACAAATCCATTGTGATGTCTAGACTCTAGTGATGTCTATTGATTGTCTTTGACTTTTGTGGCGATTAATGATGTTGATTGTGTTGTCAAATATGCAATTAGATCTAGGTCTATTTGTATATAAATAGTCTAATGATAATTGATCCAATGGCTGGGGTAATAGTATATTTGTAAAGCGCTTAGAGACATTTGTATTAAGCGCTATACCTATAAAAATTAAATATTACTATTATTAAATTAATATTATTATTACTGGTAATGTCAGGGAGCACCTCCCTGCATATTATCGATGGTAATGCCTAGATGTTTACATTTATGTTTACAATTTAAAGGTGGGGGGAGGGGGGGGGGGGGTGGGTGTAAGAGCACATATTTTATTTTGTCTAGTTTTTGAGGGAAAATTTCGCAACGACTCAGTCAGCCGCTGAATAGTCATCAGTCATCTTCCAAATAGTAATCGTCACGCGAGAAAGCTGTAAACATATCCTACAATGCACCGCACATGCCAGCGGTTCCGGCTGATTAACCGACCTTGCGCATGCGCCATGTAATGTTATTTACGACCGGTGCGACCAGGCGGCATTAATCCAATTTAGTGGAATGGTCGCTTGGGGAGCGCGGCATACAGGATGGGTCGTTTGACCCTAATCCAGTCCCCACTCCTAGTGTAGTAACTCCTTGGTTTAGCCAAATAAACTTGAGACAGTTGAAGTTACGTTGCCGGCTTGGTGGTTTATGAAAAGGTTTATGATATTGATATCACCATTATTATAGGATTACTACTAGCGAATCCGGGCTAACTCGGCCCACGGGACTACCCGAGTTAGCCCGACTCACTAACTAGCTGACTATTTAGGCCCTAAAAGTCAGTGTTAATAGTCAGAATTTTTAGGCTTACCGTACTACTTGTTTGGCGGGCTGTTCTGAAGTTCTGAAAAAGTAGTAAATCCTACAAAACACAATTTCATGTTCTTTTCTTTTAGGGAATTTCATAATCCAAGTGAAACGGGATGTCTCAAAGGAAATGCACTGTGGCTGTAGCCGCCATCTCTGCCTGTGCATCTGTGGTCGTCTACGAGATTCTGAGACGACTTGCATCATGGGCAACGGGAGATGAGCAGGAAGAGAAGACTACTGATGTTTGTGAAAGTGATGCTTTGCCAGAACTTGGAAAGAGCCTGCGTGATCGGGAATACTCTCTTGTTGAAAATCTCCATCCATTGAATAATGGCTCTTATGGCGGGGTTCCGCAGAGAGTGCTCAAAGCACAGAAAAGGTTTGTGAAGTGAAAACCTGTATATAAAGATCGCTCAAGGCAGGCATGAAAAGAAAGGGGTCTTTATAGCCAGGTGGTCTTAATTTACAGGTTCCTTTAGTTTAGTACAGAGAGAAACCATATTCAAGGGAATAAGAAAATGTGTAACCAAGCTTTTAAGATAATTATCGGAGGTCAAGACCAACAAAATTGTGCATTCTTATTATTTGCTTGATTTTTAAAACTTAGAAATCAAGTATGCTGTACATGAATGAAGATTAAGAGGTGCTGAGGAGGGCCATTCGTAATTTAAACACATTTTACAATGTTTGAGATTTGGGGGCACGTTTTGCCACCCATAGTACAGGGAAGGAATTACAGAAAAGGTTTGTGAAGTGAAAACCTGTATATATATAAAGACCGCTCAAGGCAGGCATGAAAAGAAAGTGGTCTTAATAGCCAGGTGGTCTTAAAGCTTATCTGCCGTAGTTTACAGGAGGGATTAGACTGCCCTGCAAGGTCACTGGACAGGTGGTTATCTCATCAACTCAGCTCTCAGTTAACATAAGAAAAAGAGGATCATGGGGGACCAATGGTCACCGATTATGCATTGTTTGTTATATAGAGGGCGCAAGTAGCTACAAGTAGTGCAGTGGGCCTTTAATGTACAGGTTCCTTTAGTGTAATACAGAGAGAAACCATATTCAATGGAATAAAAAAATGTGTTACCAAGCTTTTAAGATAATTATCGGAGGTCAAGACCAACAAAATTGTGCATTCTTATTATTTGCTTGATTTTTAAAACTTAGAAATCAAGTATGCTGTACATGAATGAAGATTAAGAGGTGCTGAGGAGGGCCATTCGTAATTTAAACACATTTTACAACGTTTGAGTTTTGGGGGCACGTTTTGCCACCCATAGTACAGGGAAGGAATTACAGAAAAGGTTTGTGAAGTGAAAACCTGTATATATAAAGACCGCTCAAGGCAGGCATGAAAAGAAAGTGGTCTTAATAGCCAGGTGGTCTTAAAGCTTATCTGCCGTAGTTTACAGGAGGGATTAGACTGCCCTGCAAGGTCACTGGACAGGTGATTATCTCATCAACTCAGCTCTCAGTTAACATAAGAAAAAGAGGATCATGGGGGACCAATGGTCACCGATTATGCATTGTTTGTTATATAGAGGGCGCAAGTAGCTACAAGTAGTGCAGTGGGCCTTTAATGTACAGGTTCCTCTAGTTTAATACAGAGAGAAACCATATTCAAGGGAATAAAAAAATGTGTTACCAAGCTTTTAAGATAATTATCGGAGGTCAAGACCAAAAATATTGTGCATTCTTATTATTTGCTTCATTTTTAAAACTTAGAAATCAAGTATGCTGTACATGAATAAAGTTTAAGAGATGCTGAGGAGGGCCATTCGTAATTTAAACACATTTTACAAGATTTGAGTTTTGGGGGCAGGTTTTGCCACCCATAGTACAGGGAAGGAATTCAAAACTTGCTTTAGTCATCTCAAGAGTTTTCAGTTTTTAGAAAGTTGAAATTAAACCACTTCACTTTGGGTTTGTTTTCTAATTGATCTTGTTTTCTGCATTGTTCATCTAGGAACTTCTACTCTTTTTTCTCATTTGTTCAACTCTGCAGCTGACTACAAAAGTGAACTTTACTCACATTTTTTAAAATACTGGTTTACTAACATACCGGTATCCAAATTTGTATGCATGATTTTGAAACAAATGTTGTTCTTGAAAACCTGAGGCTTGCCCAATTTAGCAATAAATAATGGTTGCAGACTGGATTCCGAGTATTATAGTTCATTCAAAACAGGTTATATAGAATAGCTCATCACTAGGTCCCCAGGAAAGATACATCTGTGAATTTAGATATATGTTAGTAAATCAGTTTTTGTGGCAGTCCAGTGCTAAAAACGTTGCCAAACAGTAAAGAGTTAAACTCAGATACCCAGGCATATATTGCCATTTGATACTACATGTGTGCAAAGTTCCTGTGCTACATTCACATCTGTTCTTAGTCACTGCATTTCCTGACTTGCCAGTGACCTGTGGGAGTAAGGAAACAGCTGTCAACTTTAAAGGGCAATCCAACCCTTGTAATAAGTTCATTTGTTTGAAAGCAGAAAAATGAGAGAAACAGAAAGTCAAAAGTTTGAAATAAACAGGACCCATAATAAGAAAGTTATGAATGTTTGAAATATGACATCACTTTAAGTCTATGTGAATCTCAAATTGGCAGTTTGGGTAGTGGATTGTGACGTAGATGTGGATAACTCTCACATTTGTCGTGTTCAAACATTATTTTTCTGTTATAATTGCCATCTCCCTACTCAAACATGCTGGTCTATTTGACTTGAGGGTATAGACTCATTAGGCAAAATAATTGAATGTATGATGATGTTCCATATTTTTCAGAATGATGGATGAACGGGAATCCAATCCTGAGATGTGGTGTCGCTTCCGTAGACAGGACATGTACAAGGATGCGGTCAAGAACGTTGCCGAGTTTGTGTGCGCGAAGCCGGAGAATCTGGTCTTAGTTGAAAACGTTACGACTGGTTAGTATCGAAGCAGACCAGTTTATAGTTAGCACACAGTTAGCAAAGTTCATTTAAACACTGAGTATTTTAGAATACATGTAATCACTGCCAGTGTGGTGGAAGTGCTTCATGAATACATTTCCAGTAGTCGTCTTGGAGGGTTTTTACAATTTTGTACAAATTACCTTTTTCTGTTTTTGTTTCATGGCTCAATTTTCTTGTGAAGCCGGGAATTAAAAAAAAGGAAACACAAGCTTTAAAATCCTTAAATTGGCACCATGCTGAGATATTCAAAAACATTGTTTATTATCAAACTTTGCAATTTTGGCAACTTTCCAACTTTATGGGGTAGTGATTTTGTTCACGGAATCGGTCTAGGAGGTCATTTTGTCCATGGAATCATTCTTGGGAGTAATCTTGTGACAAAATCTATTTTGCTTTCATGACAAAATCAACAGGTGATATTGCTTTTGTGACAAAATCAATTGCTGAGATTGTTTTTGTGACAAAATCAATTGGTGGGATTGATTGGTGACAAAAACATTGATTTTGTGACAGAATCACAGGTGCTACACTTGGTGCTCCATGGCATGTTGTTTTACATTACTGTTATTATAATTTTTGCCAATTTGAAGAATAATATGTGATCAATTTAGCCCTAAAAATAAATCTTTTCCTGCAAGGGTTAATACTTAAATTATACTTTTATGAAGTGCGAACTGCAAATGTCTTTTTATTGTTGCTTGCTTGCTACATGTAGGTGGCACAAATTTGTGATTTTACTTTTCTTCCTTGTCAATATTTCAGCAACAAACAGCATCGTGAAATCCTTCAAGTTCAGTGCTGGTGACCAGATCTTGGTGACAAATCATACCTATGGGGCTGTGCTGAAGACATTGAAATTTGTTACCAATCTCAATCAAGGTAACACTTTCAAATTCAACTCATCAATTTACATGCAGTAGATTGTACTACTAAAAGTAGATGTAGTAATGAAATATAAAATTTGATATGTTTCAACTTTGGACAACATTCTCGCCCATTTTTATTGTTTTCAGAAACATGATGTTTCATTTTAACAATGTAGCAATAATAGAAAAACTTATTGTTGCCAATTTGAAGAACAACGTATGATCAACTTAGCTCTAAAAATATATCCTGCCCTGCAAGGGTTAAACCTTGGGAAATGAGAAAGGAGTCAAAAGTCAAAAGGATAGACTGTAGGCTACTGATGTGTGCATTGGCCTTCCTTTTCATGTGCAATAGGAAGAAGTCAAGAAGAATTTAACAAAAAGAGTGGGAGCCATGATTCAACAACTTAGTGATACATTTGTAAGGCATGAAGATCTCAGTTCTCAGTTCCATGACTCTTATTCAAGTCTTAGGCATCATTTGACACAAGGTTCAAGAAAACTGGGTATACTTTGAAACCTCTTTTGTACAGTGACAAATACTTTCTTTGATGACCAAATAAATATTTCACCTACCCCCTCCCAAAATGGTATGATTACTTTGCAAAGCATGAAGATAAGGCTGCTCATCTTCAGTAATCTTTAAAAAAAAAAATGTTAAGTCATATATTTTAACCATCATTTGACAATATGTTTAGGGAATTCAGATCAAGCATGTTTTGAAAAGAAAAATCCTTCTGGAGGTGCTTCTGTGACCAACTGATGACAAAGGAAATATTTTGTATGCCTATCAAACCTGTCATGTACCTATCAGATGTCAGCACTGTGTCCGTTGAGATCCCAATCCAGACGACAGCCAAGGAGATCATCGATCTCCACACCCGTGCCCTCGACGAGAACCCCAGGATCAAGATTGCCATGCTGGATCACATTGCGTCCTTCTCGGCCCTCTTGTTGCCAATCAAGGAACTGATCGAGATCTGTCACAGTCGTGGAGTGATAGTGGCTATCGATGGGGCTCATGCTCCGGGGCAGCTCCCTCTTCGGTTGGAGGAACTTGGGGCGGACTTTTACTATGGTGAGGCGTACCAATTTGCGCTAGTGAAATTTGCTTTGAAATTATTTGAAAAGCCTTTTTAAATTCTATGAAATATATTAAGATTATTTAGATGTTTGAATAACAAAATATGAGTTGTATGCATTCCTGCACATCAACAGGAATCTATATTTGGATGTCACCCGACCTTCGAAGCCTTGCAGTCCTTTGTGGGCGATGTAGATGTGCCACAAGGATCTTTTATTGGACCTATACTATTCTGTACAGAGTTTATATTCTAAGGTAAAAATTGACTTTTGACACCGGCATATCTTTTCAGACTTAGTTTCTAGGTGATGATAATGATGATGTCTTCTTGTATAGCGCCAGTGTCCTCCTCTGATGATTGCTCAAAAATAACATTAAATTTTTTACAAATTTTAAATTAATGCTATTTTTCCATCTTAAATTTTGTAGGCAACTTGCACAAGTGGCTTTATTCACCTAGGGGATGTGCCTTGTTCTATGTACATCCCAAGCATCAGAGCTGGATCCGAACCGCTATCTCATCCCATCATACATTTGATCAAGATCTTCAAGATCGCTTCCATTACATCGGGACCAGGGATGCAATCCCTTACTTCACGGCCAAGCATGCCATTCACTATCATTATTACCTCGGTGGATTGGTGAGTTTGAGCGTGAGAGCTGGGGGGTGTTTCACAAAACTTGTCATCAGTGACAAATGACAATTTTTGTTATAAGCTACTGAAATCCTTGCTTCTGATTGGTTATCAGCAGATTTGTCACTGATTTTTGTCATATGTTATTGAAAAAAAAGGCTTTGTGAAACGGGTCCCTGGAGGATGTGTTCTGGGACCTGTTTCACAAAGCATTTTTTCAATGACAAATGACAAAAATCAGTGTCAAAGCTGATGATAACCAATCAGAAGCAAGGATTTCAGTAGCTTATAACAAAAACTGTCATTTGTCACTGATGACAAGTTTTGTGAAATGGGGCCCTGGTTAACAGTAACCTGGTTCTGACCTTGGAGAATTCTGTTTAATGAACCGGCGCACATTACTCGATCTGACTATGATCCAATGTAGGAACTCAGTGTTGATTTACTGTGGTTCGTAATGTTATGAACCAGAGCAAAATAACACTGAGTTCTTATAGGAAAACTATTCATTCAGATGGTCATATCTCAGCCAATACTTAACATATTCGATTGGTTTTTGACATTTGGACATTATTTTTGATGCTCTTTCGAAAAATGAAGTTCAAAATGAGAAATTCTAAAAGTAGTATTTTGATGACGTCACACTTCACCACTCTATAGGCATCGATTGAGGATAAGATTGATAAGATTTGGGGAGAGATAATGCAGTACTAAAGTGGATTTTATATTGCCAAAATAAGACCCACAGATTGCTTTTCAATTGGGTTGGATGATCTTCAGAAATATAAGGGAAGGTATCATCGATTCTCCAAATCTTCTTGTCGTCTCCTCTATGATGATGGTTAAATATTACATATTAGATTTCTAATTTAATGGAGTAAGCCAGGCCAAAGGTAATATTCAAGCACTTTGTGAAGTTCAAGTGACATTGTACATATCATGCGATACAAAAATGAATTAGTGGTATCATAATAGTACAGTAATTTCAAAATCAATGAATTCATGCCATGTTATATCTCACCCCTTTCTCTTGTTTTTTCTTCTCTCTTGTTAAATTTGTATTTCCTAATTATCTTGATTCTCTCTCTCTCTTCCTCTCACTTTCCCACTCTCCCTCTCTCTGTCCCTCTTTTTGCTTTTTTGATTCCATTTATTAGGAGAGGATCACAGCCTACAACTCTCTGCTCGTCCAATGGGCAGCTGAGATGTTGGCCAAGGCATGGAACACAACCTGGGTTGACCGGGATGAGGAGTTGAGGGCGCCATTTATGCGTCTTGTCCTACTTCCTCCATCTCCCAAGCTAGCTCTTTATGAGGCCAATAAAGATTTGATTTATGAGATTTTGAAAAAGCATAGTGTGGCTGTTGCTGTGAGTAATGATGGTGAGGATCGGTTTGTACGTATCAGTGCCCAAGTGTACAACTATAAAGAGGAATATTACTTTTTACGTGATGCAGTCATTGATGTTCTGGATATTAAGAATTAAAAGGATAACTAAATGTTGTTCCTATCTTACGGGTACGTTTGTACCTATCAGTACCCAGGGCAGTGCTTCGGGAAACTGTGATAAGTACAGGTTTGCCAAAACTCCATTGAAATGTGCATTAAAATTTGCAAGCATTTCAATAGGCTGATGTGTAACTATAAAGAGGAATGTTTATCTACTGCGTGATGCAATCATTGATGTTCTGGACATTAAGAATTGAAATGATTACAAATTTGTCTCTATTGTAAGAATACGATTGTATGCATCAGTGCCCCAGGCACATTTCACAAAACTTTCACAAGTAAAAGTTTACCAACATCCCATTAAAACATGCATTGAAATTAGCACACATTTTAATGGGATGTCGGTGGACTAGTGGTTATCATGACAGTTTTGTGAAACGATGCACTGGTGTATAACTATATAGAAAAATATGTATCTACTTTATGTTGCAATCATTTCTGTTCTGAATATAAAGAATTAAAGGATGCAAAGAAAATATCTTTATGGTAAGGATACATTTGTATGTATCAGTGCCCAGTCGTATTCTGAAATGATGATATATTTTATGTTTAGTAAAACGATGTTAAATTATCATAACAAATAAGAATTAGGACGAGTCATTGGCTCATGTACATGTCTATGCAAATCTGGCTGCAATTGCGTGAAGCTAAAAGAAGCATCAGCACAAGCAACAAGTATAAGCGTTGGTTCCTCGAAAATTTGAGTTGCTGTGTCAATTAACATCATTTCCACTTCCATAAAAAATAACATCATTTCAGAATATTGCCCCAGGGGATATCATTTAGTGATGAAATCATTGATGTTCTAGCTTTCAAATTTGAAACCATGCTGCAACTTCATGCTTTATTCTATTCTAAAAGAATGTTAATCTAGCTGTACATAGGGCTTATTCTAGGATCATTTTGTCTCAAAGTAATACACAAATTATAAAGATAAATTAGATTTATATCTTATTATGTTGCATGTAAATGTATTTTACTTTCTCGGTAGTCGGGATATATTTGTTCAAATATTTTTTCTGTTTCTGATACCAAGAACTTTTATTTTGGTATCAGTAAGATATAGGAGTTGTAGAATGTTCCTTTTATTTGTACCATGCAATCACCTAAATAAATAATTTGTGTACAGCTAGAATGTATAAAATCATCCTTAAAAACTTCGAACTATGGCCTTATGGATAATGAGTATGAACACAATAAAGAATAACATAAAACTGTTCAAGGAACTCAAGGTTTTTATTACAAACAAATATGATTTTGCCATTATTTTGGTACTAAAAGTGCCTTATTACAAGATGTCTTATTATTGAGTGATTTATGAAAGTATATTAACCCATTAGCGACTACACCGCCCAAAACTGCCCCTCCTTGTACTTACTAAACCGCCCGTTTTCGTTCGTTTTCAATGCGCTTTAGTATCCGTTCTGGGTTCTTCTATGATAATGTTATACGTGCGTAATCCTTACAATGTCTACAGTACGATTCTGCATAGAAAAATAGCGCACGGTTTTATATTATTCAGAACATTGTCAAAATGAAAACAATAATTGCTGTGTTATGGGACATGGCCTAATGTCAAATATAACACACTGTAGATTATGGTTGCAAATAAGTGGGATCTTGAAGACGATTATAGAGTCACATCTCACATGGGTAAGAGGTTTATTGGCGCAGACCAATATGCCGTGTCACAATGATATGCGTGCGCGTCACAATTATATTCGTGCACGCATCATGTAGTTTGTATACAATACATATGGTTAAACTTGCATAATACAACAAATAATGCAACATCTTCCAGTGAGTCATAGGCCTTTTCTACAGAATCTCTAGTTGCTAATGGGTTAAAATGAATAGAAACGTACCTCATTGTAGATGAAACTCATTTTAAAACCTTAATTGCCAGTTCGTGACAGCTGAGACACATTACATATTACATACGTGTGCAATCATTTTTTTTGTGTATATCCACTCAATGGAAAACTTCATTAAGTTCATTTTTATTCAATAATCATGTATTATTTGTGATTACCTGCACCAGTGAACGTTAGAGAGAAGGTTGAGTTCTGGGAAGAGGTGAAAAATAATTTGTGAGCGTTATCATTCTTATTAGGCAATTGTGGAAGAACATCAGATATTACATGTTCCCTAAAAAGCATGGCTCCTCAAATGCCTTCATATTCTAAATATGTCATGTATTATCGTAAAACTCGGGGGGGGGGGGGTAGGATTTTTACGCCACATGTTTGTGTAGTCCCATATACATCTTCCTGTGTACAGTGAGGTCAATGTTTGTAACTTTACCAAGACTTGGCCAAATTTCCTATCAATTTTATGATTCCAGAACCTTGCAATACGCACCAATAGTTATATGCTAGATGATCAACCTTTTCTGGTCGATTCCACACCAATTCTTTCACAATCCAATCGCATGACCAGAACTCAACTTCATCTTTAACCCTTTCTTGACAGGCTTTCCACATTCTGTGGTTTGGCGCTTGTCATGATAATGAATATGTATCAGATTATGCAAATGTGACACCTGTGACCTCAGGAGGTCAGATCGCATGTGCGCGCGCGATGTATATGCGATACGCGTGACTTGATACCCAGTGCGGGGAATAAACACCAGACTATGGTTTATGGAATTCAACTACTTTGTTAGTTTGTTTGCACTTAATATGTGACATTGGCGACGAGGATTAATGTTTCTTGGATGTTGAATCTGTGGCTACGAGCTGGAAAAGTTTCAACATGGCATTCGCTGGAGCGGAATTGTTAGCGCTTCGAGGAGTTCCACACTTCGATCCGACGGGTGGTGCAAGTATTGTCAGCGGCAAGTGGCAAGCTTGGCTTGAAGAGTTCGAAGCCTACGCCGATAGTCGCGGCCTGTTTCTGGACGGATGTACGCCGGCCCAGGAGGCTCAACGGAGAGCACTGTTGCTGTACACTGCGGGGCCTGTGGTAAGGGAGACTTTCAAAACACTTCCCAATAAAGGAGAGAGGAATGAGTATCAAAAAGCCACAGATGCCCTAAATGCTCATTATGTTGTCAAACCTAATGCTACGTTTCAAAGACATTTGTTCAGGAAAACAAAGCAGGAAGATGGTGAAACGGTTGCCCAATTTGTTACCAAATTACGACAGGTTGCTATTGGATGCAATTTCGTAGCTGGGGATGTAGAAAACCAAATTCTTGACCAAGTAGTTCAGTATTGTAGAGCTGATAAACTTCGCAGGAGAATGCTGGAGAAAGGAGGTGAGCTCAAGTTAAATGATGCATTGTCCATGGCTGCTGCTCTAGAAGCTGTTGAAGGTCAATTTAACTCCATGTCATTGAGAGAGAGAGAAAGGCCTAGAGCTGGTGGACAAGTTCAAGTGAACCAAGTATCGTATGAGAATGACAGAAAAAAGAATTTGGAATGCTACCGATGTGGGAACAAAGGACATTTTGGGAAGGATGCATCATGTCCAGCCAAAGGAAAGATCTGTCGGAAATGTGGAGGCCAAAACCACTTTGCGACAATGTGCAAAAGTAAGGCCAAGAGCACAAGTGAGGCGAGAGGAAAATTCAGAGATGGGAAGTCCAGAGATGGAAAGAAGTATAAGAATAGAGTTCGCCAAGTGGAAGGTGAACCCGGAAATGATAGTGATGATGACAACAGCCGTGGCCGTGATCAGAGGTACTATCAATTTGCTGTGAATGGTGATCATGAGAAAGTCCCAATAATCATTGGAGGTGTCACAGTCCCAGTGATAGTAGATTCGGGAAGTGATTGCAATGTAATAGATCAGATGTTGTGGGAGAAACTGAAGAAGGACAAAATCATCTGCAAATCTACTAAGAGTACCAAGAGGCTTTATCCGTACACATCACATATACCATTAACAACTGTTGGATGTTTCACAGCCACCGTAGAAGTTGGCAAGATGAAGTCGACTGCAGAGTTTGTTGTCATTAAAGAAAAGGGAGAACCTTTACTGAGCAAACATACGTCTAGAGAGCTGGGAGTGCTCCAGGTGGGAATTGTACATGTAAATGCGGTACAGAGTTATGCAGGTTTAAAGCAGGAGTTTGAAGCAGTCTTCAAAGGAGTTGGGAAGTTGAAGGGCCGACAGGTGCGGTTAGCAGTGGATGAAACGGTGAAGCCAGTGGCCCAGCCTGTGCGAAGGACTCCATTTGGACTGAGAAAAAAGGTCGAGATGAAGATTGCGGAATTGATCGATCTCGACATCATTGAGCCAGTTGAACGCTCCACGCCATGGGTAAGCCCAGTTGTCATAGTTCCAAAGAGAAATGATGAAATAAGACTGTGTATCGATATGCGTAGAGTGAACGAAGCAATCATAAGAGAACGTCACCCCATTCCCACTATTGAGGAAGTCCTACAGGAGCTGTCGATTAGCAAGGTCTTTTCGAAAATAGACCTGAAGTGGGGGTACCACCAACTGGAGTTACATCCGGAGTCTAGAGAGGTGACAACCTTTGTCACTCATTGTGGGTTGTTCCGCTATAAGAGACTGTTGTTCGGAATCAATGCTGCTCCAGAGATTTATCAATATGAGATACACAGAGTGATAGCTGGGATAGAAGGAGCTGCGAACATATCAGATGACATCATTGTGCATGCATCGACCCAGAAAGAGCATGACAAGAGGTTGAAGCAGGTGCTTGGCAGACTGCGGGACGCAGGACTTACTGCAAATGCAGAAAAGTGTAAGTTTGGTGTCTCTGAGTTGGACTTCATGGGGCACAGACTGACTAGCGAGGGACTCAACCCAGGATTGGCCAAGGTGAAAGCAATTGCAGAGGCCCGTGAACCCCAGACTGCAACTGAGATGAGAAGTTTCTTGGGGCTAGTCAACTACTGCGCAAAGTTCATTCCGAACTTTGCTACATTGGCAGATCCACTGAGAAAGCTGACCAGAAAGGACACGCCATTTCAATTTGGTCATGAACAGCGACAAGCGTTTAAGTCGCTAAAGGAAAGCTTGATGAGTGCAGAGACCCTGGGCTACTATGATCTAAATGCACCGACAAAAGTCATAGCGGATGCCAGTCCAGTTGGCTTAGGAGCAGTGCTGGTGCAGGTGCATGGTGATGGCCCGAGGATAGTAGCATATGCCAGCCGCTCGTTAAGTAACGTTGAAAGGAGATACTCTCAGACGGAAAAAGAAGCCCTTGGACTTGTGTGGGCTTGTGAAAGATTCCATGCGTACCTGTATGGAATAGAGTTTGATCTAGTGACTGATCACAAACCGCTTGAAGTCATTTATTCACCGAGATCTAAGCCATGTGCGAGAATAGAGCGGTGGGTTCTGAGGCTTCAACAGTACAAGTACAGGGTAGTCCACATCGCAGGAAAGTCCAACATAGCAGATCCATTGTCAAGATTGCTGAAGGATGATCAACCGAGAGAAACTTCTGTGTTGGAAACAGAAGCAGAGAGCTTTGTGCGTTTTGTGGCAGTCCAGTCAACGCCAGGTGCGGTGACAACGAAGGAAGTCGAAAGAGAATCTGAACATGATCCTGAACTCGAAGTTATCAGAGAGTGTATTCACAGTGGACAATGGGATGATTGTCCATATAAAGCATACATTCCCATCAAGGATGAACTCTGTATAATTGGTCAGTGTGTGCTGAGAGGTAGCAGATTGGTGATTCCACAGGCACAGAGGCCAAAGATGGTGTCATTAGCTCACGAAGGACACCTGGGCATTGTTGGCACCAAACAGAATTTGAGAACCAAGGTATGGTGGCCAGGATGTGAGAAAGATGCAGAGAAATTCGTCAAGACTTGTCATGGTTGCCAAATCACAAGCAGGGGTAATCCACCAGAACCAATTCGAAGTACTATGTTGCCAACAGGACCTTGGGTGGATGTAGCTGTTGATTTCCTAGGACCACTTCCGACAGGAGAATCTATACTTGTGGTAGTTGATTATTATAGCAGATACTACGAGTATGCAATCATGAAATCAACCACTGCAGAGAAGACAGTCAAAGCCCTGGCTGAAATCTTTGGCAGACATGGGTTACCTGTGACGTTATACTCAGACAATGGACCCCAGTTCATCTCAGAAGTTTTCGCAGAGTACATGAACATTACAGGAATTCACCACCATCGGGTGACTCCTAAATGGCCCCAAGCCAACGGCGAGGTCGAAAGACAGAACCAGAGTATAGTGAAAAGGCTTAGAATTGCACAGGCAGAAGGCAAGGATTGGAAAGAGGCCTTGCTGACTTACG